AGTAGGAGCACTACTAAAAACGGGGTTAATAAAAGGGCATGTGGGGGTACGTTGGAAAGTAATAACAAGGCACTCGGTTCTCCGAATCAGTGATATGCATTATTGCCAACATACAGAGTTATTTCAGAATGGGGACCCTGCAGTTCTGCAGCATTATCTGGGACAAATGCTATATTTTTTTACAATCTAGGATAAGGGACATAAATTACAGAGAGAGAGGAAAAAAAAATAGTTCAGCCAAATAAGGGGCAGTGCTAGGATGAGACAAATTAGATAAAAATCCATTTTACTTTGATTTTTTTCTGCTGTAATTTCTTGCTTTAAGGTTAAAACTTTGTTCTCCATCACATGCATCTGACGAAGTGGGTCTTTGCCCACAAAAGCTTATGCTCCTACACTTCAGTTAGTCTATAAGGTGCCACAGGACTCCTCGTCGCTTTTGCAGATTCAGACTAACACGGCTACCCCTCTGATACTGTTCTCCATCAGACATTCTTCAGGGGAAAAGAGAAATAAAAACTGCTCCTTTAAATTGACTCTCACAGGGGAAAGGTGTCTGAACTTGTGATTATCCCTCTTGAGTGCTGAGTCACTGTGACAGCTTCACTTGTATTATTTTCTACACTGTAGTATATATGCCATCTCTATAAACCTAGAAGCAAAGAAAGGTAAAGCATGTACTAAAGGCAAATCAAGCAGAAGTTAAAAGAACTGTAGTCTCTCTCTTGTATCATTTACTGTATATCTCTAGGGGAGAGAGCCTAAGTCATAAGAGTTGGATTCAGTAGCTTTCTCATTTCTGGTTCTATCTGTAAAATTACATCATGCAGAATGGAAGAGGAGGAGGGAAATTGTGACGTAGGTTTTCAGCTACTGCTGCTTCATCGAGTAGCATCTCTGTGGGTGCTCCACTTCACGTACAAATTCCCCTCTTGAATCCTTGATTGGAAATTGTCAGGAGTGTCTGTATGACCTGTGCATTCATCCTGTGCCCCCCTCGGGTCTTATACCATAGCTCTGTAGGGTGTGCGGATGCCCTACAGAGTTCTTTCTCAACAGCCTTTGCCTGAGATGGTGCCCTAGAGTGCCTTCCTTGAGTGTGCCTTGGCTTTTCCAATATTCCTCTAGTAATTAAGATTGTTTATATATTTAGATAAGTAGCGAAAGGGTTGTTTTATTCCCCTTTTTCTCTTTGGGGAGACTTCTCCCCTCCCCGCCCCGGACAGATCATGTCTGGCTTGTCAGGTTTCAAATGTGGCGTCTCCTGCCAAGGATGTGGAGATGACCATTCTAATTTTATGGAAATCCCATCTCTCTCAAAAGTGTAATGAAGAGCGCAGAGGGGAGAGATGTCTCTGATAGGGCCTCAATACCATACAAGCAAGAAGGGCAAGCATAAACACTTGGGACCAGCTCCGTCAAGTTCAGCTCAGCCATCAGTACCCATACATGTGGTAGTCTTGTCACGGAGCAAAGAAAAGTGCCAGATGCCAGCAGTATCTACTTCAGTACCCCCATTTTTGGAAGTACCGTTGGCTCTGGTGACCATAGCCTCAGCTACCACGTCAGTACTGATCCCCTTTTCAGTACCACAGTAGTTCAGTTATACTAAGGAGCCCTCAGTAATTGATGAACTGAAGGCCTCACTCCTCACAGGTAGGGAGTGTGTCTCTCAGAACTTACACCCTAAATTCTAGACATGTTGTCCAGTTTGCAGAACTCTTTATTGCTTTCTGTGAGTGTTCCTCTATTAGATAAAATGGAGAAGGGTGCAGGAGACTTCCAGTCAGTCTCTTCTGTTTTGGTTCAGGAGTCTCCCACATATCTCCTCAGAAACTCATTTACTGAAAGTTACGGGGGAGATGCTCGTTATCAAGGGTGGTCATCGAGTCCAGTCCCCTGCTAAAAGCAGGGCCAATACCAACTAAATCCAAAAATTGCCCTTTTCCTACTGATTTATCTAGTACTAGCTATACTGAATGCCTTTTTGTTTGGATGTGCCAGAGGGCTGTTGCATGCAACTTTTTTTTTTTTTTTTTTTTTTTTGCGGAAAGGAAATTTACACACAAGGAACATGTTAATACCTTCCAGATACCAGCCTGTGATTGTCAATAATGTATTTCTTCTCCGTTTTATGAATCCTAATAATATATTAACTGTACTGCTTAAGAACGGTGTCAAGGGAACAAAGAATCATTGGCACTATCTGATGTGAGCAGGTTTGTGTTGTTGAAGGGAATGCATATCCCTTTGCCATCTCTATTGATAAACTGTTAAACTTTATCTCATGTCTCAGAGATACAGATAGCTGATCAGCATTTTGTTTTCAGTGGGGGAATTGGTGTTACATTGCAAGCTGGATAGATAATTGTGTCACTGTCTATACCACTGTGGAATAGGACAAAGGGAGATGCACCTCTGTTCTTTCTTAGAAAGTCAACACAACATTTTGAAAAGAAACTAAACAAAAATATACAATACCTTGTGTGTTCAGTGTTGTATAAAAGTAAAATCTGATATTTGTATTCCGAGTGAAAGCGTGATAGTTTTCTTTACAGTGTGTCTGACTTTTATCTAATAAGAAATACTACAAACTCCACCTAGAGTTTTCCATGGAAAGCTGAGAAATGCCTAAACTTTGCTCAAGTGCGTGCCACTTGGGAACCTAGTCAAAAGCAGGTTAAATCTGTCCTTTCTTTGACATGGAGATGGAGCCTGCAGACTGAGCAAAATCCCAGCATGCAGTGCTTCAGCTTGATCTGAGAATCTTTTCTCTAGGGTGCTGGCACAGTACACATGTACTGAGAGGAGTGAAAGACCACCTTGCAGAACTTTACAGGCTGCATTGGACTTGTGGGTCATGCTCTGTCCCTCAGTTTTAACGTATCCAGTACTGATGACTATATGGTATATGTAGTGGCCTACATTGTGTAACAGGACTTGTGGTTTGGGTGGTAAAGGTTTTTATTACCTAATCTGAGTCCTTTCCAGAGAACCTTTTGAAAATCAGACTCCTTTCAGGTGTCTTAGGTTTGGTTCACAAAATCGCTAGTTTTGTTTTGTTTTTTAAATCTTGACCTATATGTTGTTTTACATTAATATCCACTATCTGTGATTTCATGAGATGACAGGAAATGCATATCATACATCTGATCCATATCTAGTTTATTTGTACCAAGGGCCTTTTCAAACCAAAGAGCCAAACTACATTAAAATTCTACTCAGAACAAGTGGTCAACAAAGAGCTGTATGAACACTCTCATTTGCATGACTGAAAATATACAACTTAATATTATTGATCATTGACATGATGAATAATAATAGCATAAATGAAACATTGTACTCACAGATTTCATTTAGTGGGACTTCTGCTGCTGCATCTTTTTGCACATTTCTTTGACGTTTACATCGTGACTGGTCAAATTCAAGTTCATACACACATTCAAGCTACATGAGTAATTATGCTTTTTTTAAATTTTGATTTTTTTTTCATTTTAATTTAAAAAGTTGCATGTATTTTGGGAATGACAAAAGAGCCATATTTAGTTCTATACTGGTTGCAGACCTCTGCCATATAGAGAGCACGTCTGGATAGATTACACGTATGTTTGATGATCTTCACGATAAGTGTGGTCTGTTTTATGAAACACAAAATAGCTTACTAGATCTAAGCCTCACAAACCTCGCCAATACCTCGCAGTGTTGTGCCCCCATTTTGGTGTGTGTGGGATTAGTCATGGAGTTTTTCACCTCTCAGTCCCCTGTTCTAAAACGTTGTTGCAGTAGTGACTGAAAGCAGCCAGAAGTCATGGTTAAAGAATTTGTTTCAGTCCAGTTCCCAGGAGAGCTGCCTCAAAAGCCTCCCTCACCAATGTCATTAACTGGCATCCTTGCTGGGGGGTGGTGTTACTTCTTTTACTGTTTGCAAAGTGCGTTACTTTGGGATTTTGACTGGTCTGCGCATTTCATCATTTTCATTTCTCCCTTATGGTTACATTTAACTCTTTGAAGAGTGAATTCTAAACTGCCTAACCTGTTATGGCTGGAGTAATGGTCCCTGTGGTAACTGCTGCTCCTAGAAGTGGCTGGCATGTCTCTGCAGCCCTTAAGAAAGGCAGAGCAGGGCATCTCAATAGGCTGTCCTTGCCTGCAGGCACCACTCCTTCAGTGCCCATTGATCAGTAATGGGGAACTGTGGCCAGTAGAAGCTGTGGGCTCAGTGCCTGTAGAAGAGGGTGCCATGGAGCCATGGCTATTCATGCCAGCTGCTTTCCAGAGTGGTGCAGAGCCAGGGCAAGAGTAAACCTGCCTTAACTTCACTGCTCCTGCACCCGGAAGCTGTCTCAGTCAATGGTGCCCAGCCAGAACCTTCATCCTGAACCCCTGTCCCAGCCCTGAACCTCCTCCTACACCCAACCTCCTGCCCCAGATTTGAGTCCCCCTGTACCCAAACTCCTTCCCAGAGCTTGCACCCGGAAACCCCTCCTGGACCCCAATCTGCCACCCTGAGCTAAGCCCAGAGCCCCTCCAACACTCCAAACCCCTTGGCTCAAGACCAGAGCCTGTACCCCAACCCCTACCTCAGCCTGGTGAAAGTGAGTGAGGATGGGAAAAGGGGGATAGAGTGAGCAGGGTGAGGCCTCGGAGAAGGGGGGGTAAGGAAGCAGGAAAACGGTATTTGCGTTTGAGGCAGCTCTTCCATTGCACTTAAATTGAAAAAGTGATCTTGTGCTTCAAGAGGTTGGAGACCCCTGACTTAGATTACTTCGATTTCCACTATATGCCTCTGATGAAGTGATTTCACCCACGAAAGCTTATGCCCAAATAAATCTGTTAGTTTTTAAGGTACCACAGGACTCCTTGTTGTTTTTACTTACACTGTAATACACTTAAAAGCAGTATATCATCAAGTGATTATAATAAAAGCTAGCTAGCTATGCTGGCATCAGTGAGGTATCCCCACTTTGACTCATTTTAGCTAGAACTAAATGAAGATAGAAATGGGTGAGTCTCTTTTAAACACAGTTACAACTGGGGGCATTGGATTTTCAGAGTCCAAAGCATCCTTTGATACCAGCTTGTTTCTTTGTCTTTGAGAATGTGAAATGCCAGTGTAGAATGTGAAATTACTTTTCCTTGTGTGGATGACAAGTATGGTGCTCCCTTCAGTGCGTGCTGCTGATCTGAATTATGTTGTTTTTGTTTCCTCCTGGCAGCAAAGAAAATCTGTGCAGAGTCAGACTTCACCTGCAACAATGGCCACTGCATCCCAGCCAGGTGGAAGTGTGATGGTGAAGAGGAATGCCCTGACGGGTCTGATGAATCAGAAGTGACATGCAGTGAGTACTGTAGAGGAGTAATGTGTTCTGCAAAGGCAGAAATAGTGTGGAATGGCAAGGAAGTCTGTCCTCCTGAAATTGCAGAATGGTCCCAATTGAATTCAGAGTTCCCGCATTGAATCAATTAGAGATGGAAGAGTTCTGTTAGCTCAGTCAGTCCTAAGGTTCCCAACAGCATTCCCTCTAAGCTATGCACCTGCACGGCCACACAAGTCAGTCACATGCTGCACACTTGTTTAGTAGAGTCGCACACAAGCAGCAACCTGTGTTCAGGTTCCCTTCTCTCTGCTGCCTCACTGCTCCTGTCCTCTACCTTGGAGCCCCTAGCCAGCTGCTCCTGGGACCCTCCTGCTTGCTCTGCAAAGCAGGGGAGGGGAGTGCTGCTGTCAGGGTGTTCCCTCTCCATGTAACCAATCTCTGCAAAGCAAAGGAGAGACACGGCTTGGGAGTTAAACAGAGCTTCTGGTGGCTGCTGTGGTCGGAACGAGCCTTCAAACTGGTGAGTGCTTCTGTGCTTAGAGAGTCAGTGCATGACCTTTTGTGTACTTCCCAGCAGCCAGTACACACACGCTGTGTCTCTTGTGTACTAAATGCTCTTTGTGTGTGTCTCTCTCTGTCTCTCGTACACATGTTCTCTCTTTCTCTCATATTCATGCACATTGTCCCTCTCTTTTCTACACGCTCTCACATACACAGACACGCTTTCACACACAGGCACACCGACATGCTCTCTCTCTCTCTCTCTCTCTCTCTCTCTCTCTTCCCTCCCCCCCTTCCCCTGACATACTCAACTCGGAACACGTACTTGTGTGGTTGGTACTTAGAACTTCCTGCAATGCATTTATATTCTCTGTCATTTTATTTTTTTTGATTGGTCTGGGCATTTCATAATTTTAGTTCTCTCTTAGGCTTACATTTAATTCTTAGAGTAGTGAGTTCTAAAATGTGTAACCTGTCCTGGCTGGAGAAATTCTACCTGTGGTAACTTTTAAAAAATATATATTGTATCTAGTTTTTTTTCTTTCTATTGGTGGCTCTCATCCACTCTTTGCCCTGACATTGGTGCACATAAGTTCATTCATGCAAGGATGGAAAAAATTAGAGAGAACATTGGTTCCTAGCCTTTCAAGTAACTGTAACAGCGTATTAGACTAAGTAGTAGGCTGCACCATCCAGTGACTGTCTCAGTTATGGAAATGGTGTGAAAAGCGTATCTAGTTTTTTTTCTCTCTATTGGTGGCTCTCATCCACTCTTTGCCCTGACATTGGTGCACATAAATTCATTCATGCAAGGATGGAAAAAATTAGAGAGAACATTTCCCCTGACATACTCAACTCGGAACACGTACTTGTGTGGTTGGTACTTAGAACTTCCTGCAATGCATTTATATTCTCTGTCATTTTATTTTTTTTGATTGGTCTGGGCATTTCATAATTTTAGTTCTCTCTTAGGCTTACATTTAATTCTTAGAGTAGTGAGTTCTAAAATGTGTAACCTGTCCTGGCTGGAGAAATTCTACCTGTGGTAACTTTTAAAAAATATATATTGTATCTAGTTTTTTTTCTCTCTATTGGTGGCTCTCATCCACTCTTTGCCCTGACATTGGTGCACATAAATTCATTCATGCAAGGATGGAAAAAATTAGAGAGAACATTGGTTCCTAGCCTTTCAAGTAACTGTAACAGCGTATTAGACTAAGTAGTAGGCTGCACCATCCAGTGACTGTCTCAGTTATGGAAATGGGGTGAAAAGCAGTGTTAGCTCTGTTGCAAATTAGAATTCATAAAACTAGGTAGGTCATGGTTAGTAATGGTGCACTAGAGATTGGCACTGAATCTTATCAGGAAAGAGAAGCAATCTAGAGTACAGTGTGCAAAGAGCTTGGAGTATTAGCGTTGACACAAATACCAAGAGCCATTGCTCTAATGATTAGATTCCACGATTTCTTGCAGAACCCCTGAAGATGGTCTGTGGCCACAGAACCCTGGTTGGGAAACACAGCTCTAATCCCTTTCCCAAAGGGTGTAGCATTATTCCCTGTTGTATTCAATATCCGGTGATTTTGCATTGTTGGTCATTTGGAGTCTGAACAGAACTGATTGTAATCAGTGTACTTTAAATCAGACCCTTTGAAAATTCACATTAACTTTGCATTGGATGATGATCTTCTGAAATGCATCATCATGCTGCAGTGCTTTTCTCTTGTGTTGCAGTGCCACAACTCTGTAACAGTTCTGTAAGATGGCATTGTGTCAGTGATACTTGTCTTGGAGTATGAATGACAAAATGTGAGCATTGTATCAAAAGAAGGATTAGCTATGGGCAAAAACTGAAGCAGAAAGCCAGCATGCCAAGTGCTCCTTTCAGGGTAGCATCTTTAATAAATGTACCAGTTTAGTAAAAGGCAGGACATACCTGGTCTTTCTGTGATGCATTTCACCTTGTTCCTTTCACTCTTTTTTGAAAAGGTTCATCCACTTTCCATTGGTCTGGAACACTGAAGCGTTATTAAACGTTGACTGATGCTGAGCAGAAGAGATACCAGGGAAACTGGAATTGAGTCATTTTCTGGCACATGAATGTGCATGTGTTCTTGTGTTCATGTTGCGCTTGGAGGACCAGAGTAAACTAATGTAAACCACACATTGAATTTCAAGTCATGTACGACTGTAGTCCCACAGGTCAGCAGCAGTGACTGGAAAAGTACTTTATCTGACTTCACCAGCATGCAGCACAAGAAGACTATACAATTAACCATATTTTTTAAATGTTTAAGCCTGATAGCCAATTCTACATTGCTACCTAATTAAGAAAGATAAATGTGTTTCTCTCTCATAAGAAATGAGTGGAGGTTGTTGGTTTTTTTCCAAGCAATAGACTGAGTACTGAAATTACCTCAACAATGGCATTAACACATTTATATACTATATGTATTTTGGTCTCTCTGTCCCTCCAGCCCCCTTTTTAGTCAAAAGCTGTTATCTTAATGCTGCATCCACTATCTGATCGCCATGGGGTGTGGGTTGAATAATGAAGCAGTTCCATTCCCAGTAGTCTCTGTCTGTAAATCTCCCGGCAGAGGCAGTAGAACGGGCAGTGTTGAGAGCATGCAGTTCATCATAAGGTCCGCAAGTGCTTCTTTTGACCTACATCTTCCACTCTACATGTATGCATGCACTTCCTCTAAGAAGACTGGCCCTCAAGCTGTGTACGAGGCTTGAATTGTGCAGGTACCTGAGTGCCAGTCTTGTTAGCCATTTTATGAATGTGACTATGCTGTCCCAAGAGGTGAGCTTTTGCTGGAAACCTAACACGATGCTGAAGTCTGTGTTATTTTCAGGTCAGGTGGTGCATGGGGGAATCTGTGCCCTTGAAATATCTTTCATTTGTAATAGTGAGAGTAGGAAGGCTGTGATGGACCGGGCCGTGTCTGGGCACCGCTGAGGGCGTCTGCTCAGGGCGAATTGCTCAAATTCGGGGCTCCTTACAGCCCCCAGACTGGCGACCTTTCCAAACAGGCCACAAACCAGTCCCACAGAGCGCTTCAGCTGCCTGCCTGAAGCCTCACGAGCAAAATCCCTCCGACACCCCAGCAATATCTGTGCCCTAGATGGCCCCGGGCCTCATATACCGGTGGGGGGTCTTAGAACCCAATCCCACCTACCCCGAACAAGTTCTGTCCAGTTCCAAGAAACCAGCCACAGATCCCTGGTCAATTTACCCTCTGGATCTTACCCACAAATCACGCTGAGCCAATCCTTTAGCATCTAACATCTAAAGGTTTATTATTACAATAAAGAAAAGTAGGAGAGTAAGGTTGTTAAAGGATAGTACATTACATGCATCGAATCTCCCAGTTCTCGATGCAGGCTCTACAGAGATGTTATAGCTGCTGGCTCAAAAGTCCTTGTTGCGCATCCTAGGATCAGGACAGGTCCACAGTTCTTCCTGGCTCTTCGATCCCTGCATTGCTGCCTCTGGGATGAAGTGCTGAGCTGCGTACCAAGATGGAGTCGACCCCATGGACTCTTTATACATCCTTCCTCGTCTCTTCTTGGCTGCAGCAGGTCACCTGGCCAGCGGCCTATCCCTGTGTTCCCTGCTGGCAGGCCCCGTGTCATCCCTCATTCTTTAGGTGTGTCCTTGACCCATTGAGTGCCCTTGTCCCACAGGGCCTCACTAATTAGCATGTCCATAGGCTGGGCTCTGACCAATGCTCAACCACATGCAGGGAAATATTCAGTATCCATACAAAGTATATGCTTATAATTTCACACACAGGCATTATACAATCACATGACTAGCGTACATAGGATTATCAGACAGTAAGCTCCTATTCAACACCTCACATGGCCCCCTTTTATACCATTTTTGGGGCCAACACCCCCACCTGTGGGTGCAACAGTGATCTGGCTGCTTCCCTCAAAATCCAGTAACGTGACAAAGGCGCATGGACTGTGTCACCTCAGGCAAACTGAGAAACCCTTTGGCGGGAGAAAAAAATGTTGCTGTTAGATGATGAGCCTGAGCGGGAATTCAGGAGCTCCCAGATGAGCATGTAGTTCTCTCTTCATGTTTGTAAGTAAGACCATTTCCAACCCGTATCAAGCAGCCTGGCGGAGAGGACTGATGGGAAGCCTCTCCTTTTTGGGTACGTCTAGACTACATGCCTCTGTCGCTAGAGGCATGTAGATTAGGCTCCCAGACATAGGAAAATGAAGCGGCGATTTAAATAATCGCCGCTTCATTTAAATTTACATGGCTGCCGCGCTGAGCCGACAAACAGCTGATCAGCTGTTTCTCAGCTCAGCACGGTAGTCTGGACGTTCCGCAGTCAACATCAAAGGCATTTGTCGACCTCCCAGGTATGTCGCCAGTGTCACAGCACAGAAACCATGGCAATAACTAGCTTGGCATTCAGCTATGGAGGTAGAGGTTGAAATTGTCTGACTCAATCTGATTAGCTTCTAAGTGATTGAATAGGTTTGAGGGGGAAGGA